AATTTGTCTCTGTACAGACACTATGAGGAGCTTCCTTTCATGTGCATCAAAGGGTGATTCTTGATTTTTTTATGGTGCCTTAGTTCTTTGTTGTCGCTTTCAATCCTCCTCTGTCAAAATCCAGGCTGGTTTGTTATCATTGAAAATGTCTTTTAAAAATCTTGCCAATTTGGAAAATTGCTGGAATTGGTTTGGATTGGTTGGGCAGACTCCCTTTTCACATGCTCTGTCTAAATATCATGGTGCCGACCCACTACAGCAGAGTTCTTAGCCAGTTTGCTTAGGTAGCCTACCCGCCCTTAGTTAGAGAGAACAACTCTTACAAAACTCAAGTTTCTGTGGACAGGGGTGGTTTCTGACAGAAACAAAGGTAGTTTTGTAGTGCCTGGTTCACCCCTGTTGATTCGAATACTCCTCCATCGACATCCGGACCCATCAATTTGTAAATTTCGCCAAAAATGAATAAAATTGAAAATCGCTGTAAATGGTTAGGATTGGTTTGCCAGCGCCCTCTTACTAACTCTCCGTCAAAATTTCACGTCGCAGACCCATTTTAAGCGAGTTACGCCCGTTTTTTTCGTACCGGCTCGCCTGCTAGGTAGGCAGCCCATTGTACGCTGCTCGCCAGATTCAAAAGACAACCCTGTCTGGACAGGGGTGGTTTCTGGCGGAACCAAAAGTAGTTTTGTGGTTCCCTGGTTCACCCCTGTCGGTTCGACTACTTTTCCGTCGAAATCCGGACCCACCCATTTTCGCTAAAAATGGGAAGGCTATAGCCTTTGTAAATTTGGCCAAAAATGAAAAAAAATAAAAATCGCTGGAAATGGCCGGGATTGGTTTGACAGCATCCTCTTTCAATCTCCCCGTCGTTATTTTAAGCCGTCGGGCCATTTCAAGTGAGTTACGCCTGTTTTTGTTGGACCGGCTCGCCTGCTAGGTAGGCAGCCCATCGTACGCTGCCCGCCAGATTCAAAAGACCATCCCTTAAAACTCAAGTTTCTGTGGACAGGGGTAGCCTTTGTAAATTTGGCCAAAAATGAAAAAAATAAAAATAGCTGGAAATGATTGGAATTGGTCTAGGAGAGTCGACTTTGACCACCTCTCTCGAAATTGCATGCTTCCTGCCTCTTTTGCATCCTGTTTCTTCGACTATAAAATTGCGTCTTTGGTTTGTTGCAGGAAGATTATCGGCCTGGAGGTGCACCTGACTTGGACATCAGCAAAGCAGCCTATGTGTCACCTGCTGTATGCTGAGTTGGAGTTGGAGCACACAGGAGGAGGAATCGCTCCTTTTTCTCATGATTGCAGTAATGAATCTGGTAAGTTTTGACTTTCAATGTGATGTTAACATAAAATACCAGTACATTTATGGTAGTCATGTTTGGTAAAAGTTTATTTTCGTATTGTTTCTATTTGGGGGTTACTCGTCATTTCTTTACTGCTTATTCTCATTCCATATTTACGGCTTATTACTTGTGCCTATAATATATAGTCGTGTTTTAATTTTAGTGCGGAACTGGAGGCAAATCATTGGTAATCTTTGACAGTAATGCAGCTATTTATTTCATTTGTATGGTACAGTCGTCGTAAAATAGGAAGTGATGCTGATTCTTGTCCAAAGGGATGTGCCTGGACTTGAAGCTGGCCACCTGTAACATAGAAAGTTCATACGATGAGCTGGCGCCACAGTGATACAGATGGACCAGAACACGTTTGTGTTGAACTCTGAGATAATTTGAATTTACTTGTATTTTTTCCATTCTTTTTCAGGTATTCAGATTCGCCCCAAGTCACCAGCAGAAACAAGCCGGCTACTTGAGGAAGACTTAAGCTTATAATGTTAGAAACAATAAAGAATTAAAATACTATCCAACATTTTACATGATTTCATTGACCTGATTCTACGCTGCAGTAA